TGATAAACCCATCAAAGTGGAGGGTCCATATGGTAGGAATGCAGTAAAGGTAACAGGACCAGTGTCACGTAAACATTAAATACAGTGCCTTCCACCTTCATAAATCCTGGGTGCTTGTGATTAAATGCTGCTGGTTATAAATCATGCAGCCAAACTCTAGAAACAACCACAAGTTAAGACACCAGTGGAAGCCTTCAGTTGTAACTGGCTTTCTTCCCAGGAAACTGCTGTATTATTTTTAGGAGATGATATTCGAGTCCCTATTTTCCTCAACAATTATCTTCTCACTTTATTGAACTTCCTACAATTAGCTCTCATCTTGATTAAAAAGTAATAATACAAACCTTTAATCCTAGACAACAATCTTTCATTTGTATGTGGTAAAGTGCCTTTTTAATTTGCAGACTCATTTTAAAGCTTTTTATATCTATCATCTATCTATCTATCTATCTATCTATCTATCTATCTATCTATCTATGTATCATCTATCATCTATCTATCATCATCATCTATCTATCATCTATCTATCTTTAGGTCTCTAAGATTTTTTCATTTAGAGTCATATACCAGAAGTTTCTGCAACAGCCCAGTTTTACACTGGTATTTACAATCAAATTATTTTATTACACATGGAAGCAATTAAACATTTGGCCCTCAGCTGTAAACAATTACTATATACAATGACATTTGTGGAGCTTTCCTAAATAGTCATGTATTTCTAATGCCCTCTGTTTAAATGAGCCAGATTGATGGATGTACATTTTGTGTACCAGAAGCAATTATATTTCCAAACATAGTATCACCAAAGGTATTTCGGCTGGAGAATGCCCTAACGGAGCCTGATACCACGCAGCCACCTGCAGTCATACCTTTGACGTAGCTCATTTCTGTTCCACCCTCATTTTACTACTGTTCCAGTTTCATTCTGAAGAACGGTAGGGACTCATAGCCAAGAAGCTATTATGTTTTTGGATAATTTGCTTTTGGGGGTTTTGGGGTATCTCATTTTAATATATTGCTGTCAGTGTTGCCAGTAGCAGAGAGGCAGAAAAAACAAGGAGCGATATAACCCAATAGATACATAGTCTTGAATCCCAGCCCTGCCAGTTTCTAGTTGGTGACCTTCGGTTATTTACTTTTTTTTCAGGCTTAGTTTCCCCCTATTCAAAAAATGTGGATGGTTATATCTAAATCATAGGACTATTATGAATGCTAATGAGATATATATTTAAAGAAATAGGGCATGTACTACATAGTCAGTACATACTGATTTCTTCATTGTATCCCATACTCCTTTCCCAAAAGGACTCATATTCCATTTTGAGAATATCCATCCTTCACTGTCTCAAGTCTAGGGATACATTTTCTTTGCACTAGACTCCCCTTTCCACAAGTGACAACCATGGGAGAAGGCCACAGCTGTTTCACTTACGTCCAGAAATAAGTCCAGCAGCCCCAGTTGCAGGGGTGCCTAACAGCTGTATCCAGCCTTTCTAGGAGGCCAGAACTGGAGCCGAGTGGTAATGTTTCAAGGGCAAAGCTCTAGATGTAAAGACTGATAAAACAAACCTAAATGAGCCTGAGCATGTCTAGTGATAGATACACCACAGCTATTCTAAATTATTCAAGCTTTCTCAGACTTCTAACAGAGAGACGTAATTCATCTCTGCTCTCCTTTATCCTACTATCCTGTAATGGCTAAGGAGACCCCCCCCCC